GCTGTACACAATAACCCAATACTAGGTATGCCAAAATAGTGTAAAACAGATTGGTCAAGACAGAGTGGTCAATCAACGCTCTTTATTATGATATTGGTAACATCATGGATATGAATGGTCCTCCAAACCATTCCGAAAGAGTAGCAAAGAGTCATCTAAAACGACTCATAAATAATGGCTCCAGACCCTCCAGTGTGAATCAGTAAAGCTGGAACTCACAGTAAAATACATGTAATAGAGAAATGCTCCACATAGTGTAAAACCGCCAATATTAAGACATTTATTCGGTAAATTGCACTTCCATAGTAAAGTCACTTACATAGGCTGATTTTAATCCTGACTATGCAAGTGCAATTTACCAAATACATGTCTTAATATTGGTGGTTTTACACAATGTGGAGCATTTCTCTATTACGTGTATTTTAGACACAAAGCTCAGGCTGGCTACAGCCCAGCTGCAAAACATAATAAATTGAGCTAGGTACACTCCAGCTTTAAGTGGTAATAAAGCAAAACCAAAAAAAATTATATTGCAGCTTACCATTTCTTGGGTGTGGTGACTGCATTTGTTTTTTTAGGCTTTTTTTCCTTTTACCTGGTGTTCTGGTCAGTTAGTTTTTTAGTTTTCAATTTCCTTTAACAAACCAAGCTGTCCAGCAAAAGTGGATGTTAGAGGGTTGAGACAAACCACTTACAATGATCAGTTTGTATTCATTTATGTAAAACCAGGGCTTTTTGCTAAGAAAATAGGCGAAGGAACTCAACCATGACCCCCCACACTAAATTAAAATGAGTATAATTCAAATATAACCATTTAAATAAAAAAACATGAATTCTATGTTGCAGGGCTGTATTTCAGGCCTGTATAAAAAAAATAAATAAAACGTGTTGTAACATTACTTCTCTTACAACATATATCTTAGTGTTGTAAATTGCCACTAGGTAACACATAGTTTAGAAAAGGAAACCTCCCCCCACCCTACTTCATTTGCCCTAACACGATTTGAAAGTATTTGCAAGTCTCACTCATACTTCACAGGCCTTATTCTTCTATTATATTCCTCTATACTTTCCCATAAGAAGCCTGCAGTATGCTGTAATGATATCACATACTGGGCACACGAAAAGCTATTCAAGAATCATAGGGATTACAGATTATCACTCCCCTCTGACCCATCGTAAAACAGTCACAGAATCCTTCAGTTCTGCCATCCATGGTCTGTAGGGCAATAAAACACGTTAGGAATACACAGCATGTTGTAAAATGTCTATCCAAGACTAATGGCTATCGTAAAAGGCATTCAGGGTCAGAGGCGACCTCTCAGAGACCTCTGCCTCATTCACTATTTCAAAGAATCTACACACAATTCATAAAATCAGACAGGAACAAGACATCTCAATAATAAGTATACTGTATATTTGAATGGAGAATATCATACCAAACAAATCAAGGTCATACATGACTAAGCTATAGTATACCGAAGGTGAGATAGCTGACTCCTACCTCCTGGGTGACAGGCTTATTCAAGAGACTTCATGTTTGGTATCCCTGGACACGAAATTCAGTGCTGAACAATAATCTACCATTTTCCAGAATGCAACTTGTGCATATTTGAAGATTTTATAATCGGTATAAAACTGTGTGTAAGGGAGGGCCATGATACAGTCATAAACGCAGTGACATCCCATGGTCACTCCTCAGCCGCTTAATTGGTCAGATGGTCTCTGTCAACACCCCCTTGATGTCAGAAATAGGGGATTTCAAGCATATTCAACAGCTCTCATGTGCCATTAAATGAAGAACGATCTGTCAAGTTATGAGAGCCAATATATCAGCTTGCTCATTGTCTTCTGAACCAGGACATTGTTAAGTATTTCCACCCTCAACTCCTTTTTATTTTTCTGTTGCCTTGTTGTCTATTTATAATACCCTTTTTGTGTACCTATTTTATTTGTACCATTTTGACCTTTTCAATATTAAACCATAATTTGAAGAGTGTTAAAACTGTCTCTAATGCCTAATGCAAATCTAAAGAATTCCTATCTCTAGAAGAGTGCTACTACCTGGTAAATCTCTGAATATACCTGTCTGTGGTGACTGCGTGTCCACAGACATTTATTTTAAAATCATACTTGTTATTGCTAATCTTGTGAAAGTTTCCTACTTCTTGATAAAAATAGGTGGTGGCAGTTCAAAGGGTTCATTGCTTAGTTAACTAAACCCAGTGGCAATTGCTTCCAGGCTGTTGGCACTTACATTATGGTCCCGCGAGCTGGAATATCTTTGCACAGGGTAAGGCTGAGTGTCGCATATCAGTGACAGCGGTTTGTGAAGTTGACCAGTCATTTGTCATGAGTTTGTGGAAATGGCAGTGATTTGATCCACGTTTTTCACATATACCACTACCAAATGCAATGGTAAATGGAATTGGGAAAGTCACTTGATCCAGAGGACTGAAAAATCATGCTTTAAGCCATCGTTAAATGTTCTAAAAATGTACTGATCCTTGAAAATGCCTATAGGCCTTCGTATTACTGGTGCTATAATACGTCAACCCGTCTAGCTTGGTTTATACCGAATTATCCCTCTACCTGTTTTTTGGGTTGTCCTCAAGAAGGCTCAGAGGTGCACATGTGGTGGAGGTGTCCAGTAGTGAGTAGATTGTGCATTTGGGTCTACAATCTCATTCGCTCTTTACTTCACACTAATTTTCATAAGAACCCCTATTAGGCCTTACTTCCTAAAACTATTGCAGTGCTTTTCCATACCAAAAGTAGGTTGGTCACCCAAATTTTTATAGCCCCCCAAGCTCACAATAGCAAGAACCTGGAAAATCCCTCTCCGTGAGCTTTGAGGCAGTAAAGGACCGACTAAATGAAGTAATGGTGAATAGAAAACTGACAGCCATACAGACAAAAACCATGATAACTTTCTAAAAGTCTGGCAACCCTGGATATCATTTGCTACTCCATCAAGATCTGACAAATTGTTGCTTACCATTTGAAAGACAAGGCAATTGTGACCCCCCTCCCCCCTTTTTTCTTCCTTTACCTGACCCTTATCCTCGGCCGAAATGCACAATATCTCCATTTGAACGCTTTCTTTTCCATGGCTGCCTCTCAAATATTTACCACAGCCAATGAATGGTCACCCGCTTTTGTATAATGATCATAGCACTACTTCTTATACTAACTTTGAATTCATGACATTTTGCTACTCTAAACTATAATGAATTTCCCCTGAGTAGAGAAGTACTTATTCTGTTATATTTGTTCCACCGATGTAACTAGTCACTATCCCTGAGGGGCTGTCTTCTTAATGGTTTGTGTTCTATGTATCCACTGTACGTGTCTATATTTTCTGTACATGCTTTGTACTATTCAAACTGACAATAAACCTTTTGTAAAACAAAAGGAAACCTTTCTTAAAATACATTACATTGTATTGATGCCAAAGTTCATGACAAATAGTTTTAAGGCCAAAGTATATATACTATAGAGGTAAAGACCGTTAATCTAGCCTGGTAAATAAGGTAAAGATGTGTTGGTTTCATTACTCAATCAAGTGAAAGGGAAATAAAAAAAGAGGAAATTGGATGATTGAAATACATTTGGTTTCCACTTTATTTCCTAACCTTTACAAAGTGAACAGCCTCAACTCCTTTAGTAAATCAACCCTAAAGAGCCTACATAGAAGTAGCTTTATCGGATGACTAATGGGGCAGTCAACTCGTTTGCCCATCATTGTGGGGGTTCTTTCTGAAGGCAAGAAGTGGAGGGACAGACCTAGAATAATATGCCCCGGTGGACCAATCAACTGTCATGATGGCCATATACTGGGCAATTCTGTGGCTTTCAATCAGACCACATCCACAATCAGTTGCCAGTTTTCAGGCATAGGGACGGAAATTTATAACATTTATTATGATGCTTATAAAAAGGTATTGCAATTTCCAATCCATTTTTTTTTTTTTCAAAACAGGAAACATTTATGGCTAAGTGAAGAAATATTATCAAGTACATAGCCAGCATTTTTAAGAATTAAAAAAAGAAAGAAACTAACCCAATAAACCATGATTGATTTAGGTTACTTCGGTTTGGAGCCATTCAACATATTTCAAATATTTTCATACAACCCACCATCAATTAATACACAGATAGTACAAATAAATGCTATAATACCCTATGAACATAAAAAGTAAAAAAAGAGGGGGATGCACAAAAAATATATATGTTTGAGAATACACCATGGATAGTACCTTACAGGGGCGGACTGACAACTCATGGGGCCCCCGGGCAATAGGGGATCAGGGGGCCCCTGTGTCCTTGCCCACACAAAAAAGCCTATAAAAAGGTACAAGGGGCATTACATGGGGCCCCCTACTGACCCCGGGCCCTCAGGCAGTGCCCGAGTGCTCAAATGGTCAGTCCGCCCCTGGTACCTTATGACAGGGCTTAAAATTTCAAGTCCTGAGCTATCAGCCAGGCCTTAAGAGTTACTCACCACCAACAAACACACACACCTGTACTCACACAGACATTTATTTATTTATTTATTTCAGGTACTTATATAGCGCTGTTAATTTATGCAGAGCTTTACACATATATATTGAACATTCACATCAGTCCCTGACCCTCAAGGGGTGTACAATCTAAGGTTCCTAACTCACATTCATACATACACATACTAGGGCCAATTTAGACAGGATCCAAATAACTTACCAGCATGTCTTTGGAGTGTGGGAGGAAACCGGAGCACCCGGAGGAAACCCACACAAGCACAGGGAGAACATGCAAACTCCATGCAGGAGGCACCATGGTCAGGAATCGCACCCATGAACCATTTACTACAAGGCAGACGTGCTAACTACTAAGCCACTGTGCCGCCCTGACATGTACATACACACACAGAAACATGTACACACATGCACAGAGACACATGTACACACACACACACATACAGACACACACAGGCACGTAGAGACATGCATACACACAGATACATACACAAAAATACACACGTACAGACACATGTACATACATACACAGACACATGTACATACATACACACAAACACACACACACACACACACACATGTACATGCGCACACACAGACACATGTACACACACACAGACACATGTACACACACACAGACCATGTACACACATGTATATACACACAGACACATGTACATGCATACACAGACACACACAGACACACAGACACACACACACACACAACCCTATAAAAAGTTGCAGTACTTCGTTGTTCACTCACAGAGCCGGGTACTGCACTCTAGGGGGAGGCAGAGAGCACAGCACACACTCCTTCCTTTGCTTTCACTGTGCTCAGTTATTGAGCAGTCTGATGGCTCCCAGTGCCAATGACAGATCCAGCCTGAGCTCCGAGCCTGCTCAGCCAGACGGCCCTGGGGGACACACTCACCACCACCATAATTTCCACTTGCCATTGGCGAGCAGGCGATTGGAAATTTCAAGGTCTGCCTTATGAGATATCCTAAATCTTTTCCCTGGATATAGACTTCAAATAAATAACTTTCACTCTAGTTTTTTAGAGAATAAAACTTTATTCACTACTGACAATCTTTTACACAATGACATATATAGACTTGCAATAGCAGAAAAGAAGGAGCGCCCAATGTCCAAAAGAATGCACTTTAGATGTTAGATTAGGAGCATTTATTGAGAGAAATGACAACTACATCAAGTGTACTTGTTGTTACGCTCAATGAATGCCTAAATGCCTCCCTATCTACCATCAAAAGTGCATTCTTCTGGACATCGGGCGCTCCTTATTTTCTACTATTCCAAGTATATGTGTGGAAATTACCTCAAGGCCGTACCAGAAAGGCAGCAGCCCAAAACCTAACAGAGTTTACAGCCAATATCCACCACTGGGTACAACTGACTGGAGGGACTTCTCCCTACCCATCCACGCAACCACCCACCTATGACCAGTGATTGATCCAGTCAGTCCAGCGCAGTCTTCAGTGCAAACAACCATATACAGACTTGCGTCCAGCATTATTGCTATACCATTGCACTAAATGTTCTGTAGCCCATGCTATTTCCCTTGCATCTTTCTTTACAGTTATGTACCTGCCAGGGGCGGACTGACTATTTGGAAACTCGGGCACTGCCCGAGGTCAGTAGGGGGCCCCATGAGATGCCCCTGGTACCTTTATCATAGGCTTTTTTGAGTTTGGGCGGACACAGGGGCCCCATGATCCCCTATTGCCCGGGGGCCCCATGAGTTTTCAGTCCTCCCCTGGTACCTGTCTTATATTGTATTCATGGGAATTATTTATTCCTATTTACCTAAAGCTAGTGACTGATGTACTTTCGGTTACTGTATACTGTATTGCTTCATATTCCACATTCAACATGGGTTTAATTCCTGCACAATCTGCATAAAACTGTGTAAATGTGTGTCACCATACTTAAAGTTTAAATTAAACACTATCCACATCCAACTGTATCGAGTGGACAGAGCAAAGCATATAAGTATAACTTTATGTTAGTCAATTTGGCATCCCCATTCCTAAATAGAAAACTCCAAGTCCCTTGGCTGTCACATAGTGGGCATTGCTTGTGGCACAAAAAGTGTAATAAAAAAAAGATAAAATGTATGTAGTGAACTGAATCCAGGATGTAGAAGAAAAATCAGACCAGGAAGAGGACCAGCGCTTTTTATAATAGTAATCTTTTTTCAGCTATGACCAAACTCCATCTGGCAACACTGCAAACTGACTTAAATGGTTAATTCTGTACAGCTTGATTTAGACCTGAATTCCCACTCTGCTAATAACTATGTATTTCACCAAGGGAGTTCTTAGCAAGTGCATTTGTTGTCTAGGATGACCCAGAAGTCACATGACCTCGTAAAGGTGCTTTTATCTCCCAAGAGAACAATTTTAATCTCTTGATTGCTGCAAACCCCTTCCATCATAGGCACAGTATTTTCAGCTGTCCTTAAAGGGAAAACCCCATATTGTAGGCAATGCTGCTGCTGCAGCCGAAGTGCCCTTTTTCCTGCATTAAAAATCCTTTTTTATCCAAAAGGTTGGGCTCATATAATAAGCCGAAACAAGTCATTTCTGAAATTATTATTATTATTATTATACAGTATTTATAAGCGCCAATAGTTCACTCAGCGCTGTACATTACAAAGGGGGACAGAACATGTGACAGAACAATACCAATACAATGCAAAACATGAGGGGATCGAGGGCCCTGCTCTTTCGAGCTTACAATCTAGAAGGGATGGGATAGTGGTACAGGAGGATAGCTGTGGGGGATGGATTGGTAGGAACAGTGGAGGAGGTCAGCAAGTTAGCAGGGGTGAGGTAGGCTTCCCTGAAGAGATGGGTTTTCAGGGTGCGCCTAAAGGAGAGGAGAGTAGGTGATAATCTGATGGGTTGGGGCAGGGAGTTCCAGAGGATGGGTGACACCCTGGAGAAGTCCTGGAGGCGGGCATGGGAGGAGGAGACCAGGGAACTAGAGAGAAGGAGGTCTTGTGAGGAGCGGAGTGTGCGTGCTGGGGGCGGTACTTGGATATTAGGTCAGTGATGTAGTTCGGGGCAGTATGGTGGACAGCTTTGTACGTCAGTGTTAGGATTTTAAATTTGATCCGTTGCGCAATCGGAAGCCAGTGGAGGGATTGGCAGAGGGGGGTGGCGGAAATGGAGCGGTTGGAAAGGTGAATGAGTCTGGCAGCCGTATTCAGGATCGACTGAAGCGGGGATAGCCAGCGGCGAGGCAGGCCAGTGAGGAGGGAGCAGTAGTCGAGTCGTGATATGATGAGGGAGTGGATGAGCTGTTTAGTGGTTTCTGGGGTTAGGAACGTGCGGATTTTGGCGATGTTGCGGAGGTGGAGTCTGCACAAGTTTGTTAAAGATTGGACTTGGGGCTGGAAGGATAGGTTGGAGTCCAGAATGACACCAAGTACTCTGGCCTGCAGAGCGGGTTTGATATTGGCGTTGTTGGATGTGATGTAGAAGTCAATGGGGGGTGGGGTTCGGGCTGGGGGGAAGACAAGGAGCTCGTTTTTGGAGAGATTCAGTTTAAGGAAGTGGAGCGACATCCAATCTGATATGTCGCTCAGTAGGTGTGTGATTTGGGCAGAGACCGAGGGGGTGAGGGGGGGGGGTTGAGAGATAGATTTGTGTGTCTTCGGCATAGAGGTGGTAGTTGAAGCCGTGAGAGTGTATGAGTTGGCCAAAGGAGGAGGTGTAGATGGAGAAGAGAAGGGGCCCAAGGACAGAGCCTTGAGGGACCCCAACAGAGAGGGGGAGTGAGGGGGAGGTGGTAGCATTATAGGTAACGCTGAAAGAGCGTTGTGACAGGTAGGATGAGAGCCAGGAGAGAGCAGAATCTCTGAGGCCGAGGGAGTGTAGTATTTTGAGGAGGAGGGGGTGGTCAACTGTGTCGAAGGCCGCAGAGAGGTCAAGGAGTAGGAGCACTGAATAGTGGCCATTAGCTTTGGCGGTTAGAAGGTCGTTGGAGAGTTTGAGTAAGGCGGTTTCGGTGGAGTGTAGGGGGCGGAAGCCAGACTGTAGGGGATCGAGGAGGTTGTTGTCGTTGAGGTGAGAGCATAGGCGGGTGTAGACGAGGCGCTCGAGGAGTTTAGATGTAAATGGGAGCAGGGAGATGGGTCTGAGGTTGTTCGGGTCATTGGGGTCCAGGGAGGGCTTTTTAAGTATGGGGGTGATGTGTGCATGCTTCAGTGGGGAGGGGAAAGTGCCGGAGGAGAGGGAGAGATTAAAGATGTGGGTGAGGGAGAGTAGGATGGAGGGGGAGGGAGGTCGTAGGAATTGTGAGGGGATAGGGTCAAGGGGGCAGGTGGTGAAGCGGGCATCAGAGAGGATCTTGGAGACTTCCTCGATGGTAGTAAGGTCAAAGGTGTGGAGTGTTGGGGGAGCTTCAGTATGAGGAATGTAGGGTGGGGTGGGAGTGGAGGTCAGAGCAGTGGTGGGGCCGTGGGAGAGGGGGTGATGAGGGGGTAGCTGAGTGAGGGGGAACGGGGTTGGAGGGAGTTTGAGCAGTGACGAAGTCCCTGCGGGTAATGTCGAGGGGGAGGGGGGATAGTGGGGTAGCTGTGTGAGAGGGGACGGGTTGAGAGGGCGTGTGAGTTGCGGCAATGTCCTTGCGAATTGTGTCAATCTTGTTTTTGAAGTGATTGGCAATCTCAAGGGCGGTGAGTGAGGTGCTGGGTGGAGGTGGGGGTGGAGAGAGTAGAGAGTTGAAGGTGGAGAAGAGTCGGCGAGGATTGGAGGAGAGGGCCTTGATGAGGGTCAGGAAGTAGGCTTGTTTGGCTGCGTGGAGGGAGGAGGTGTAGGTGCGGAAGGCAGATTTGTAGCAGGTGAAAGCTTGTTGGGATTTTGTTTTGCGCCATAGTCGCTCCAGGGCACGACTGTGTCGTTTGAGGGTTTTGGTGTGATCAGTCTGCCAGGGCTGGAGCGGTCGGAGTCTGATGTTGCGTGTGGTTAAAGGCGCTAGTGAGTCAAGGGCTGCTGACAGCGCGTTGTTGTAGGCAGTCATAGCCAAGTCGGGGCAGGACAGGGGGGGGATGCGGTCGTGGAGTTGATCAGCTGCAGAGTGGAGGGGGGCAGGGTTAAGGTTGCGGAGGTTACGGCTGGTAGTAGTGTGACATTTGGAGGGGTAGGCGTTGGAGGACGAGGAGATAGAGAAGGTGATCAGGTTGTGGTCAGAGAGAGGAAAGGGGGTGTTAGTGAGGTTGTGGGGAGCGCAGCGGTTGGAGAAGACAAGATCAAGGATATTACCGTCGGAGTGGGTGGTGGATTGTATGCACTGTGCAAGTGCAAAGGAGGAGGTTAAGTGGAGGAGACGGGCTGTGTCCGGGTTGTCAAGGTTGACAGGGATGTTGAAATCCCCAAGAATGATGGTGGGTAGCTCAGAGGAGAGGAAGAAGGGTAGCCAGGAGGAGAAGTCTTCCAGGAAGCGGGGTATGGATCCAGGAGGCCGGTATATCACAGCAATCTTCAGGGGGGTTGGGGAGAATAGTCGGACGCAGTGGGCCTCGAAGGAGGAGTAGGATAGGGAGGGGGGATTTGGGAGGACTCGGAAGGTGCTCTGCGGTGACAGGAGCAGACCAAGCCCACCACCTTTACGACCGTTAGGTCTGGGTGAGTGGGTCCAGGTGAGACCTCCATAGGAGAGTGCAGCAGGGGAGGTAGAGTCAGTGGGCTGGATCCAGGTTTCCGTGATCGCCAGGAGGTTGAGGGAGCGGGAAACAAAGAGGTCGTGGATGGCGGTAAGCTTGTTGCACACCGATCGGGCGTTCAGGAGTGCACATGAAAACGGGGGGGAGATTTTAGGGAGCAGGGGGACAGATACTAGGTTGCGGGGGTTGCGGTAGGACATGGAGGCGGGAGGGTGTTGTGCGGGTGAGGGAGATGGTGGAGGGCCAGGATTCGGGGAGATGTCTCCCGCGGCTAGGAGGAGGAGAAGGGTGAGAAAGGTGGCATGGGAGCGGGATGT